ACACACACACACACACACACACACACACACACACACACACACACACACACTCTCTCTCTCTCTCTCTCTCTCTCTCTTTCTCTTTCTCTCGCAATATTTTTGTTCACGCACGCACGCACACACGCACACGCACACGCACGCACACACGTGGGGACCCTGTGCACACATACTAATTATTAAACTAGTTAGTATTAATAAAAGTACTTAGCATTGATAAAACCGACAGCACATCGTCATTGCACCGTTAAAACAATTGTATTTTATTTTTACGATTTTCATGTTTAGCTTTAACAGTCATAGATATCTATATATGCACAGTAAGGTATTTTTAGGATATTTTTGCTAACTGTGGAGCTACTGGCACCTACTTGACAGCAAGTTAAGAATAGAAATTATCATAGATTGCAAAGTTACGCGAAAGCAGCGAGAAAGATTTCCGCTGACAGAGATACTGTAAAATCCGCTGCCAATATGGCGATTGAAGGCGTTCGGAAGGTGTTTGAGTGCTTTCCGTGTAGTTGCTGTATTTAACTTCGTTTCAATTTTGATACAAACCCTCAAATTCTAGAGTGACACGCTCTTGGGTCATTCCCGTCAGATACCCTTCCCCCCAGAAGTACAGTTACAGGCTGTTGGAGTCTCACTGTATGTTTTTCTATTTTGAAGTACTTTTTTTCTATTTTAACTGAGACAATAATATAGCGAAATACTCACGAGAACTGGTCCCTAGTCCGTTGATTGTCGGTCAGAGCGATATATACGTGACGAATAACATAGGGGGGGCCCATGATTTTATATGACACCTCACTTTTGAGAATGTAAAGGTCAATTCTAGATGGAAATAATAGGGACAGCATTGCAATCATAGAAATATATAGAGACACTATGAGAATTTAGCTAGTATTATTTTACTTTATTAGATTGCAATGCGCATAGTTTGATACGCGCGCGCGTAGGTGTCCTCTCTACAAAATAAATTGCCAAATTAAGAGCTGACATTGGGTTTTGCGCCGCGCCTAATCTGCCAAAGTTTCCATTGTTCCCACTGTTTCCAGGTAAACTCTACGTCTCTCGCATTGAAGTTCTCTGGTTGCCGAGGCGCTGTTTGCTATCAGTGTTATTCTCATGCAATGCATTTGGACAGGCTGTGATTACCTTAATCACCGGTTCGTTCTCTATCTATTTCGCTTACATAACGGCATTTGGCATCTATTTATCGGATTTTGGCATCAATAGGGTGGTCATCTGTGGCGGGCTGCTCATGTCAATGGGGATGAGTCTCTGTTACCGAGCCGACAACCTGCCTGTGATGTTCGCCAGCTATTCACTGCTCTCAGGTAAGCTGTACACACAGCCACGCACGCACGCACGCACGCACGCACGCACACACTCTGGTATAAAGCCCTCACGCGAAACACGCATAAGTAAAAAGATGCCAAACTGGGCTTTTTAACACCACGTATACACGACTCTTCAACACGCGAACAATACCAGTTTTGTCTCTCTCTATATATATATATTATATATATATATTATATATATATATATATATATATATATATATATATATAT